GCCAGGGATGTTTTGCTGCCCGTGGAAAGCCCCTGCCGGGTTTTTGTAGAGCCGCTGGAAACTGGGCTAAGGAGAGAAAGGGAGTCGGAGCTGGATTCCTTCAGAGAGAGGGGAAGTTGACGCACCAGCCTAAGAATAGCTCAGGGAGGGGAAGTATGGACAATATTGTCACCAAAGGTAACCTCCGCGGCGTGTGTCTCTGTGCCCGTCTTGTGTCAGGAAAATCAGCTTCTCGAGTGACATTCGCTCGGCTTTTCGGGGGCCCGCGCGCGGGGAAGCCGCCGTTGCCCGGTGTAGTGGGTCCATGTGCAATGTTTAGGGTGGTGCCTCGGCGGCGCGTTATCGCGTTCGCTCTCTGGTTATGTTTCAGCTGCTGATGAAATTGCAGCCAGAAGCGGAGGAGGATTTGGACCTTCCCATGATCGGGACCTTTGACTCATAAAAGGCTTCTTCAGGAAGCTTCGCAGGCCAGAAGAGGGGAGGAAAGAGCAGCCGGCTGTCGGAGGGAGCAGACCCCGTCCTGGAGCGCGGGGAACCGGGGGGGCGAGAGGAAGTCGCTGTATGTGGAGTTTTTGGACAGTAAGTCGCATGGATTTTTATGTAGCTGCACGGTCCGTGTTCTGAAACGGTTCTTCAGAAGAGCAGAGGACAGGAGAGGGTGGAGGCTGTCTTCTGGGGAGGGTTTGTTGCTTCTCAAGATTTAAATCTTTAATTACACTCCGCTGGCCGACCAGCGAGTTCCAGAATCTGAGAAGAAAAACAAAGTCGTCCTGAACCTAAAGTCTTGAATGTTCTTTAAACTTTTATCCTGTTGTTTAGCGAGAACCTGAACTCCAAAGTCATTGCTTTATTTTGTTTGTTTGAAAGTGGGGCAGAGGAAAGACAAACCCAACCAACCTGTTGTGTGGAGAATTCATCTGACGCTGGTGTTTTGTGTTTTTTTTTTTTTTTTTCTCCCAATTCCCAAACCCTCCACCTGTTTTCTTTTCTCCTCTGCCAGAAATGCTTTCTCTGAAGAAATACTTCACCGAAGGCCTCATCCAGTTCACCATTCTGCTCAGCTTGATCGGCGTTCGCGTGGACGTGGACACCTACCTGAACTCGCAGCTCCCCCCTCTCCGGGAGATCATTCTTGGCCAGAGCTCCGCTTACACCCAGACCCAGTTTCACAACCTGCGTAACACCTTGGATGGATATGGCATCCACCCAAAAAGCGTAGACCTGGACTATTACTTCACCGCTCGCAGGCTGCTCAACCAGGTGAGGGCCCTGGACAGGTTTCAGGTGCCCACCACCGAAGTCAACGCCTGGCTGGTGCACAGAGACCCCGAAGGCTCCGTCTCCGGTAGCCAGCCCAGCGCCGGCATCGCCCTAGAGAACGGCAGCGGCCTGCAGGATGGCAGCAGCCCTGACAACGGGGTGAGGGAGAGCGGAGCGGAGCAGGGCTTTGGGGAAGAACTGGAAGATTTGGGAGCGGTGGCTGCCCCGGTGAACGGAGACCTGACCAAAGAGGTAGGCAGGACCTTCTTTTGCCTGTGGCGGGGGGAAAGGGAGCCCTGGGGGGCTCTTGGCCTCTGGTGTCCATCCGAGTGAGCGGTACTCTGTACGTTGTGTGTGTTTAGCGCTTGGTGAAAGTGGGTCCCCACTTGGAATGGCGTAATGCTAAATTACGGTTCGGTTAGAGGGCTCCAGGTGTATGCGTGAGGTGGTTTTTCCTTTTTGTTTGTTTTATTCTTGGTCTGAAAGTAATAGTGAAAGGCGAGGGAAAGGGTTGGGGTCAGCATTTCAATCTGTGCGCGTAGCTTTGTGTTGTGAAACCGAGAAAAATGAGGCTGGGAAATAAACAGGGGCATTGGGTAACAGCCTCATCCCGGGTGTCAAGCGGGTGGTTGGGTTACTTGGCTCTGGAGTTCATCCAGTGGCGATGTTTATTGCTTGGTTTTCATCACAGACGGGTGGGGAGAGGTGAACTGGAAAGCGGTTTATTTTTTTTTTTCTGTCTGAGCACAACCTTTCGGAGGCTGTGATGCAATGCTGGTCCCTGGGAGCTGCTGCTCTTTTTCCTTTTTGGCACCGCTCTCTTTGTCACGGCATGTTCAGCGTCTCCCTGGCCGTGGCGTGGGGGATGTTAGCGCTGATTTGCGGCGCTGGGTCCTTCCAGCGTCGTTCTCGCGTCTCGTAAATCGTGTCTCGGACGAGCTGCCGAGGCGCCTGGGCATGGGGAGAGCCGAATTCAACTGCTGCCACCCCTGTCCCCTGCAGCGAGGGGTGGGCAGCTTTGCAGGCAGCTGTCGCGGATGCCTGGGGCTTTTGTCATGTGGCTTCGGCGCAGCAGCAGGCAGGGAATCGAGTGAGGAAAGCGGTGTGAACGCGTGCACGCCGGAGAAACAAAGGTGACGATTGTTTCGGGTCTGGTATTGACGGATGAGCGGTGGGATGCTGCCGTAGGAAGCATGGATGGTGCCTCGGCTGTACCTGCGGGCAGCTCGCGCCTGTCCGCGGGGATCTCCTGGCTCCGGAGGCGTTTGGGCTGTGGGACTGAGGGTGAAAACCCCGCTCCGGGTTTGCGACTGGCAGCCTTGGAGAGGCGTCGACGGGAGGAGCTTCGGTCGGAGGGTCGCAGAACCCAAGGTGAACGTTCACATGTTCGGCTTCTTCCCTGATAATTGCGAGAGGTAATTCCCTGGCTTGGGAACAGGGAAGAATTTAATGAAACGCCTCGTACAAGGTCACGCGCAGCCTGTGGAATACTTCGCTGCCTTTCCCCAAGTCTCGTGTTCTTGGCTGAGGGCGTTGGGTCTGGGCAGCCTTTCGAGTGCAGTACAGGGAAACCAGGATCAGATTTTAGGGAGAAATGCTGCAGCTTTGAGCGGCAAGAGGCTGATAACGCCGCTGTTTTCCAGAGGCCTGTTTATTTCTGTCTTAAAACACAGTCCCGCGTTAGATGCCGTTGCTGCGAGCCACCCGTGTGCAGGGTGCAGCCGCAAAGCCGGCCAGCTTGGGCTGGACTTGCCGGGAGTGAAATTCCCGGCCGGTCTGGGCGATGCCGGGTGGGAAGCACGCTCCTTGCGCTGCAGTTCCGCTCCCGTCGCTCCTTTAGGGGAAGGGTGGGGAGATCTGCGCCTGCACCTTCCCCGATCCCAGGTTGTTCAGGCATCCCCGCTCCTCCTCGGGTCTCTATTTTTCCATCTTTTTTTTTTTATTTATTATTTTTC